CATCGCGAGCGCACGTGCCCTATAGCAAAACAAACAAATAAACAAACAAAAAACTCCAACTAAATAAATAAATCTTTAGAAAAGAAAGAAAGAAGAATTTTGTACTACCTACCTAAGATTCAAAATGTGAATCATATAAAAATTTTTAGAAAAGGAGTCAGCAGATGACATAAGGGTTATGGCATTGGACTCCCACATGGCCAATCACAGTTTGAATCCCAGACCTAATGGCTTGACACTCATGCCAGGTGCGTGTCTAAGATCCCAGGAGGAGAATGAAGGAGAAGGGATTATGGCATGACCAACCCCCATGGGCGGGGTGATTTCTCACTTTCCCTCTCACTGTCTCTGTCTTTCTCTCTCTCTCTCTCTCTCTGGCAAGCGCATGCACCCTAAGGGGGAAAAAAAAAAAACTACTACTGTGTGTGTGTGCGTGTGTGTGCGTGTGTGTGTGTGTATTAGGACAAAGCACTTAGCAAAAATTATTTTTAAATGGAATGAAAAAACTGAGACAAAATACATTTTTAACATTATTGTTGCATAATTAGTTTTTATTCTTAGGAAGAACTGGTAAACAACTATTAATCAGTAAAGAGCAGATCAAACAGATAATTAAAAATCGTAGGGCCAGCCAAGGCATGGCAGTTAAGGCTACTGGATCCCACTTGACTGAGAGCACAACTCGAATCCTAAACTCAGCTGGAGCAACACCCTGGGCATGCATGCATGACTGCCCAAAGTTCTAACAGGAGAGAGAGATGGAGAAGGGACTGTGGTATTTCTGCTCCCCGTGGGAAGTAGTTTCTCACTTTTCTTTCCCTTCCCTTCCCTTCTGTCTTTCTCTGCAGAGTTCATACACCCTCTGGTAATTTTTTAAAAAAAAAAAAATAAAAAAGAATAAATTAGAAGTAAATGTATTGCTATGAAACAATACCCACTAAAATGCTTAAGTAAAAAAAGCAAGGAGTGGAACCATCGTTATAGAAAGCTCTCATTTGTATTATTTTTTTAAAGCCTACATGTGCACACACACACATATATGTTTTACATGCAGGAAAATTATCACAGCAATACAATATAAATTCTGTTTGGAATGGATAGGAAGCTAATCATATTTGTATTTCCCAATATAGTATTTGGATTTTTTACCATGTACTATTATATTGCATTAAAAAAATATATACACACACAAAAAATGACTTTAATATGAGGCCAGCAGGTGGCATGGTGGTTAAGGCACTAGACTCCAATATGACTGAGTATGGTTCGAGTCCCTGACCTGGCCGTTTGGAATTCATGCCAGATATGTGTACATGCATGCCCAAAATCCCAGGAAGAGAATAAAAGGGAAGAGACTGTGGCATGGCAATTCCCCACCCCGGGAGGGGGGCAATTTCTCACTTTCCCTTTCACTGTCTCTCTCTCTCTCTCTGGCAAGTACACTTGCCCTATAGCAAAAAAAAAAAAAAAAAAAAAGCCTTAAAAATCAAAACAAACACTTTAATATGATACAGGAAATATTCTGTCAAATGAAAGGTATTTAGAACATATCAATTAATACATTATTATGCACGTGGAGTCAGCAGGCGGCATGGTGGTTAAGGCTTTGGATTCTCACATGGCTGACCGCAGTTTGAGTTTCAGACCCTGTGGCTTGAAAACCTCACAGGGCACACCTGCCCAGCTTTGAAAAACCATACTGTACCCCACAGAGATATATAACAATTCAATGTGAATCAGGAGTCGTACAATTTAAAAGAAGAAAAATCACGCTGGGTAAGTGTATGTGCATGCCCAAAATTTCAAGAGGAGAATGAAAGAGAAGGGATTATAGCATGATCATTCCCCCTGGGGAGTGATTTCTCACTCTTCCTTTTTTTATTTCTCTTTATCTCTCTGGTGAGTGCATGCACCCTAGGGCAAAATCCTTAAAAAAAAAATCATGTTGCATTCATTTACAGAAATCTAGGACCAAATCTCCTATTTTACTAGTGTCTTCCCCTCCATACATGTAAATTCTCTTTATTGCTATACTTTAGTCAAAATTAAAGTTATAATTCTATTCCCCAACCACTAAACAAAAATAAATGTATTCCTCTAGCCAAAGATGTAAATCACAACAGAATATAATATAGGCAGTATAGGGTGGTCCTAACTTATGATAACTATTGAATTTTTTTCTTAAGATTACTTTTTTTTAGGTTTATTTACTCCTTCTTTTCATGAGAGAGGAGGAGGGAGGAAAGGAATAAAAGCACCCTCAGCGGAGTCTCAAATATGATCCTCCCCTGAGTCCTCTCAGCCAGCCAAGATCATAGACATACCCACACTCACACACACATACACGTCGACTCAGGAAGCAAACCCAAGTCAGGCACTGTGCAGAGGAAGCTGGATCACACATGGCCAACCAGAGTTCCAGTCTCAGCCTTGTCCGTTTTAGTGACACACCAGCTGTGTGCACATGTGCATGCCCAGGACTATGATGGAATAGAGAATTGCAGTAATAGTAAAAGCAGCAGGACCAGGTCCCAATGGGGGTGGCTCACTCTCTCTCTCTCTCTGGAATAAAAAATCATTAAATAAAAAATGATAAAAAATAAAATTGAAAGAAGCTTATCTGTAATTAGAAAACAGCCAGCAAGACTGCATAAAAATTCAACCCAAGAATAAGATCAAGACAAATGATAATTAGAAAGCTAACCTCAGGGTTAGCCCCATAGCCTAGTGGTTAAGGGAACCAGATCCTTCATGGTCAACTTCAGTTCAAATTCAGCCCTGGTGGCTTGAAAAATAAGTTGAGCATGTGTGCATCAATACCCAAGATCTCAACAGAAAGGGGACAAAAGAGAAAGAACTTCGACATGACCACGCCCCATTATAGGGGGTACTTTCTCTCTCCCACACCAGTTTCTGTGTCTCTCTCCAGCAAGTACATACACCCCTTCCAAACTAACATTCACAAAGAAGACATAGTGTCTTAGCAGATCTCTTTGGGACTATTCCACAGCTAGGAATTTTACACCAGCCCACATACCAAATGGCACAGAAAGCTGCCAGCATTAAGTGGGACACAGAGCAGGAAAGGGCTCCCAGCAGATCCCAGCTTCAGTACAAGCAGACCTGCTGCTGTGGCACATAATACCAGAGATATGGGATGCTGAAAGTTACAGTACTGGACAAAGAAGCAGTAGTTTATTACAACACTTAGTGGGAGATAAATTTAGGTACTAGGATTCAGGCCCAAGTCCGTGCCATTTGCAACAAAGAATCTTACAACTTTTGAGAAACTGCTCCTGGTCTCTTCTGGACTCTGATAAAGAAAGAGAGTGAGGGCCAGCAGGTATAGTGGTTGAGACACTGGACTCCCATGAGGTCAACCATGACTCAAGACCCAGACCTGGCAGCTTGAAATTCATGCCAGTCACGTGTGCATGTGTGCCTAAAATCCTGAGAGAAGAATGGAGAAGGGATTGCAGAGTGGCCATGCCCCCCAGCAGGTGATTTCTCTCTTTCTGTCTCTGTCTCCCTCTGTCTCTCCTGTGAGCACTCATGCCCTGTAGCAAAAATTCTCTCAAAAGAAAAGAAAAAGAAGGGGTGCTTGTACAAGGATCATCATTTGACTGTCAATCTGGACCTCTCCTTGATGAGTGGGTCCTGTCAGATCTTCCAATAAGGGGCATTAGACAGACACACCTCCAATCTCTCATAAGATGAAAGTGGTACATCTGGATTTAGTCCAAGTAGAACTAGAGAACATGAACAAACTATAATTCAAATGTGTCTGAAGAAAACTTCTCCATTCCTACCTCCAAGGCCACTCCCATGAAATAACCAAGTCAACGGATCAATGTGCACTTTCATAGTTCTTCTTATGTTTATATATACATGCGTAATGATGTAACATGTAACATTTTATTCATCAAAGGTTTTTGCCTTTTTGAAAGATGATCAGTTACTCGCCAATCTACAACTTCTTACTTTTTTCCTCCTACCAGTGACCGTATACAATAGTTCTCTCCAGGGCAGTCTATGAATACTCATTCTTTTTATTTGCTGCACTACATATTGTAGAAAGAAGATACTTTTCTTTTAATGATGAATATTCAAGTTATTTCCTTTAATATTCTTTACCACTATGCATAGTGCATTGCCATTTTTATTTCTGTGGTCTAGATTTCTAAAGGAGGAATTTCTGCTTCAAAAGCCAAGTACATGCATCATTCTATTGGGTCATCAGCAAAGTCATGATGCATTTTTGCATAGAAAATATGTCACGACTTTTCTGATGACCCAATAAGTAGAAACTATTAAATTGCTTTATAAAATGGATGCATTCTATTGGAAGAAAATATAAGAGTGTATATAGCAAAATAAGAACTCAGCCTCATTAATAACTACTAATCTGCTTTGAAAAGCACTGCATTGACATTTTAATGTTGCTTTTATTGATTTGACTAGTAACGAGCTTAAAAAGTTTTCCCATATATTTTCAGCAATTTGCATTCCCACTTCTGTAAATTGCCTGTTTATTCACTGGCGCATTTGCCTATTGTCTTTCTTTTTCATTATAAATTTAAGGCTGTTCTTTAAATACTGAGAAAGTTATCCCATGGTGTGGCACTTGAACACAAACATTTTGTCTCATTTTTTATGTGTCTTTTAGTATTGTCTATGGCGTTTTAAGCTTACCTCGATAACTTAGTTTTCATGCCTGGATTAAAAAGCATTTCACGACTCAACATTGTATAAATACTCATGTACATTTTTCCTACAATATTCTTTGTTCATGTTCTGAAACGATCTCTCTATTATCTTGAAAATCCCTATTGTGTCACAGAGAAAGACCAAGGGAGAAAAACATTTTACAACTTCATTTTTCAAATCATCTGTGAACTGGCCGAACCAGGACATACACTACTTCTAATTCCCAGGTCAGTGTGCTTTCCACTGTAGAGTCTGCACCATATCATAAGGCATGACAAAAATAGGATCTTATTTTACCTACCTATTAGTAAGTTTTTCCTTTCAAATTTTTTCTGGAATGCATTTTTTACTTCCTTATTCCTCAAGCTGTAGATAATTGGATTCAACATGGGGATTATGGCAGTATAAAATAGGGAAACAGGTTTATTAGTATCTAAGGAGGAACTTGAACCAGGTCGAACATAGATAAAGAAAAGAGTCCCATACAGGATGGAGACTGCGGCAAGGTGAGAAGAACAAGTGGAGAAAGCTCTCTGCCTCCCATCAGCAGTCCGGATCTTCAAGATGGTTACCAGGATGCAAATGTAAGAGATCAGGATGACCAGACCACTGAAGACCCCTGTAGCTCCAGCCAGGATGAAAAGCACCAATTTATTGGTCCGGGTATCTACACATGCTAGGGGAAGCAGTGGGGAAATATCACAGAAAAAGTGATTGATAATATTTGGACCACAGAAGGGTAAGCAAAAAGTGAGAATCGTATGAGTCATGGTGCTAATAAGACCCACGGCATAAGGCCCTATAACCAGCCGCACACAGACCGGCTGGGACATCGTGATTGTGTAGAGCAAGGGTTTACAGATGGCCACACACCGGTCATAGGCCATGGCAGTCAGGAGAAAACACTCAGTCACCACAAAAAGATCAAAAAACCACATCTGTGCAGCACAACCCAGGAAAGAGATGCTTTTTTTCTCCACAAAGATATCACGCAGCATCTTAGGGGCAATGGAGGAAGAGGAACAAATATCTACAAAGGACAGGTGGCTCAGAAAGAAGTACATTGGAGTGTGTAGTCTGGGATCAGCCCATATGATAGTGATCATTCCCAAGTTACCTCCCAGGGTGACAAGATAAACAAAGAGAAGCATGATGAAGAGAATGATCTGATAAGGGAGATGATCCGTGAGGCCCAAGAAAAGAAATTCTGTCACTACTGTCTGATTCTTGTCTTCCATTGTTCAGTTATACTCTAAGAAAGAAAAAGAATTACTTTATTACAAAACAATTACTAGCTATACATATTATGTTGAGCCCATGACAAATCATTTTAAGTAGATCTGTAACAGATCATTGTGCAATAGAGTTGAGCTGGCAGAGAAAGTTCCTAGATACTAGGTTTGGGCAGTTGTGCAAAAGTCCTATATATTTGGGTAGTTGAACCTTGATCTTTTGGATTCTGTACTCTCTCCCATCAAGTCATCCAGCTATATTATCTAAAACTTCCTCAGATTTAAAATGTATGTGAAATAATAATTACTCTGCATAGTCCATGTTAGTGTACTATAAAATAATAAAGCCCACTTAGGAATTCCTTTCCTAGGAATACTGTAAAACCAGTATGTTAAAATTCTAGCATTACTCATAAGGAAAAGGCTAAGCAGAGCACTATTTATGGAGTGAACAGGAACAACCTAACATTATTAAGACACAATTTGTATGTGTGTGTGTGTGTCAGTCTATTTCTTATTTTTCCTAATAAAAGGAGGAGGAATAGGTAATTATATGCATATAAAATATGTGTGTGTGTGTGTGTGTATGGGTGTGTATACATATATATGTATACACACACACACACACACACACTGACGAAGTGGTTGTCATTCGGAAGATTTAGGGAAAGTAATTAACATGTATTACTGCATATATTTATTTTTTCGGGTGAGAACACCCAAAGATACTCTCTCAGCAATGTTCAAGACTGACCATTGCTATTAGCAACATCTCTGTATTTTTTTTTTTTAAAAAAAGGAAACAGTTCAGAAAAGGTCACACAAACCAGTTGTTGAGTCCCGTGAAAAAGCGAACATAATACAAAAGCCTTCATCTCCGCTTAATATAGAAGCACAGTAAATGGATGTGAATACCAGATACAGTGTGAGTGAAAGAGTAGAGTCTGAGGAAGGACATTTAGAAGAAAAATAGAGAGGCCAACCATTAATGGGACAAAAAAAATATGGTCTTATCTTGAAGATAATTTTATAGTTTTATCAACTGGACTAGGGAGAAATGTTCACACGTTGAAATAGTCACTTTGTAAGCTAAATAATGTGATTGAATGTATAAAAGAAAATGAAATTTAAAAAATTTTAAATACAAAAGCCTTCTCTCTTTAAAGAATTTGGAATGGGGACCAGCAGTTAGCGTAATGGCTATGTTGCTGGACTCCCACATAGTCGACAGCAGTTCGCGTCCCGGACCGGTGGCTTAAAACTCACACCGGGCGCGTGTGTGTGCATGCCCAAGATCCTGAGAGGAGAATGGAAGAGAAGGGATTGAGGCATGGCCATCCCCCTGGGGGGTGATTTCTTGCTTTCTGTCTCTCTGTCTCTGTCAGTCTGGCAAGCACACGTGCCCTATAGCAAAAACCTCTCTAAGAAAAAAAAAAGAAAAAAGAAGAAGTTGGAATGGAGAGGTTATATTCCCAAAATTCAAACTCATCCTGATTTTCTCTGCCATAGTTCAAAATTTTATATATCTAAAGTGCAGGATACTCACTTCCTTAAGCATATTCCACCTGTATCTCCTTTGATGGATAAAAGAAAGGGTTGATTTCCCAAATAGAATTTAGGATGGAAGATTCAACTTTCTTGTGATGGCAATGCTTCTCATGATGGTAATGACTTCCCAGGAGAGTGCTGACAAAGACAAATTCCCTATCTTTATAAGTCTTGAAGTAAAGAGATATTCCTTGACCTTCACCTTGACTCACATACTGCATAGAGCAAGGGATGTTTCCTTGAGAGTTTTCAGCAATTTAGAGACAGGTCCCCAAAGAACTTCACCTCAAGAGCTTACATCTGCAGGGAGGAAATTAAAATCTTCTCTGTGGTTTGGGGACCACGTATTATTTTCTGTGTCTCTTCTCAAAAAGACAACCCTAAGAAAGCAGTGTGTGTGTGTGTGTGTGTGTGTGTGTGTGTGTGTGTGCACGTGTGCCTTCTTATTTGTTTTCTCCCCCATGATAAAAAGAACTCTCTTTTCCATATTGGAGACCGGTGCATTGATCCATTGATCAGCCAACACCAACAGGGATAAGGTAGTTTGCTGCCAGGATTCTGGAGCCACAACATCCGAGTGTAAATATCGATCCCACAGGTTACTAATTGTGTCACTTAGAGGCAGTTTTTAAACTTATCTGTGCTTCATTCCCTAAATCTCCAAAATAAAGAAAACAATTCTTAGCTCACACAGATGTTGAAAATATTTAATTAAGTCATCCATTTAAAGTATTTAAAAGAGTGCCTAAAACAAAGCAAGTACTCATTAAATGCCATTTATTATTATTAGGGGTCTAGAGCACATTAGGGAAATAATACCTAGATAATAAAGTAAAATAGCGGTTTAAAGTAGCATTTGCTTATCTAAGCAAAAATAAAATCCAGTGACTGAATACCAAAGGAAGTACATATCACCATTAAGTTTAAGTAAATGGGAAAATGTTTATGGAAAGAATTGTCTGGAAAGACAAGTAAAATGTAGATAAACTGAAGGTAAGAGGAAAGACATTTCAAGAAGTCCTAATGAGATTAAGCAGAAACAGGGAAGAAAGATCAGGAAGTTATTTGGGATGGAAGAGTCACACATGAGAGGAATAAGTGTATTTGATCACACAGGTTGAACTACCTTAATCACCTTTTATTGAGAACTTCTCATTTATCCCATTAGGAAGAGTTGATACCACATTTCATAAACTCCCATAACATTTCTCTGGCAGCTCATTTTGAATTTCTATTACGTACCTATTACAAAAAATTTTAATTGGTGTCATGTAAGTATTTGCTGACTTAGAAAATAAAGGCAAAAAAGAATTGTAATTAATAATAATTTATATTTAGCAATTAAAATGATGTTATTTATTTATTAAAGAGTGTCAGGGTAAAAGTTTTCCTACTTGTTATTCTTCTTAACTCAATTAAAAGCACAAAGATAACAAAAATAGATCTTAAAAAATAAGATGACAATTCATTAAGCCTAAAAAGGAAAAAGAAATACAAAATTAACAGGAAAAAGTCTTCTAATAATATAGAAAGTTATGTGAAAAATTTTTTTATTACATTTTTAAGATAAAGACGTGTAAAAGACAGACAAAGAAGTTTAAAATTTTTATTAAGCATCTGGAAGTAAACTGAGTTCTGGAACAAAAATAACATGAGAAAAGTCAGAAAAACAGTGCAGATCCTACTACACTGAAGACATGTCTTAGAAAATTAATCAAATAAAATTGAAAATAAATTGCAACTTAGAAATTATTGGTAAGGCAAAAGAAAAGAACTAATATAGAAATAATTGTCTCCAGACAGACGTAATATGTAAAAAAGTTTCTGAAACATACGATCTCTATGGAATAAAAGTATACAATGTATGGGAATTGGAAAAGCAACAAAAAAAATCCAAAAAATTTCAGGAGAAAAAAGTAATAATAAAGATTCAAGCAGAAATAAATGAAATAGAAAATAAGAGATCTATACAGAAAATAAATGACAGCAAAAGCTGGTTCTTTGAAAAGATAAACAAGATTGACACAACATTAGCTAGACTAATTAAGAAGAGAGAAACAAACCAGATACATCAAATTTGCAATGAATCAGGCAACATTACAACAGACATAATAAATATACAAAACATCATTAGAGAATATTATGAGTGACTATATGTCAACAAAGAAAACCTAGATGAGGGACCAGCAGTTAGCGTAATGGCTATGTCGCTGGACTCCCACATAGTCGACCGTGGTTCAAGTCCTGGACCCGGTGGCTTAAACTCACACTGGGCGCGTGTGCATGAGTGCCCAAGATCCCGAGAGGAGAATAGAGGAGAAGGGATTGCAGCATGGCCATCCCCCCTAAGGGGTGATTTCTCACTTTCTGTCTCTCTGTCTCTCTCTGTCTGTCTAGCGAGCACACACACCCTATAGTAAAAACCTCTCAAAAAAAAAAAAAAAAAACCAGCATGGTACTAGCACAAAAACAGACCAATGGAAAAGAGTAGGGAAAACAGAAATAAACCCCAAAATAAGTAGCCAACTTATCTTTGACAAAGGGTACCAGTCACTACAGTGGGAAAAGGAAAATCTCTTTAGAAAATGGTGCTGGAAAAACTGGATATCCACCTTCAGAAAAATAAATCTGAATCCCTATCTCTCACCATTTACAAAAATCAACTCAGGGTGTACCAAAGATCTAAACCTAAGACCACAAACTATAAAACTACTGGGGAAAAACACTAGGGAAACTCTTAGAGACCCTGGGGTAGGCAAAGACTTCTTAGGCAAGACCCCCGAAGCACAGGCAATAATTCCCAAAATAGACAGGTGGGATTACATCAGATTAAGAAGTTTCAGCATAGGGAACCAGCAGTTAGCGTAATGGCTATGTTGCTGGACTCCCACGTAGTCGACCGCGGTTCGTGTCCCGGACCCGGTGGCTTAAAACTCACGCCGGGCGCGTGTGCATGCGTGCCCAAGATCCCGAGAGGAGAATGGAGGAGAAGGGATTGCGGCGTGACCATCCCCCCTGGGGGGTGATTTCTCGCTTTCTGTCTCTATGTCTCTCTCTGTCTGTCGCGAGGGCACATGCCCCCAAGTGAAAATCTCCCAAAAAAAAAAAAAAAAAAAAAAGAAGTTTCAGCATAGCAAAGAACACCATAATTTGTGTAATTGACAACCCTTGGAATGGAAGAGTTTTTTTTGTTAACTGTGCCTCAGATAAGGGACTGATTACCAGAATACACAGGAAACTCAAGCGGTTTACCTGGAAGAAAATGATTAGCCCAATTAAGAGATAGGAAAATGAGCTGAGTAAACAACTCTCTAAGGAAGACATACAAACTGCCAAAAAGCATATGAAAAAATGCTCAACAACCCTCATCAAAAGGGAGATGTAAATCAAAACCACAGTAAGATACCACCTAACCCCAGTCAGAATGACGACGATTAAAAATACAAAAAATGATAAGC